GTAATTTTAGTCTTCAAGTAAGAATTGTATTTGCTGTTTAAAGAAACTAAATAAGAGATATTTTTTGCTACTTTACATTACTAAGGCAGAATTGCACCATCTTATTTTAACCGTGACTATAACCATAACCGGTGTTTTTTGTGTGGAGTTTGACAGACTTTTGACGTTTGTTAAAGTTAAAGTAAAATGCTGCAACCCAGCCTAAAAATATTGAATTAATTTCAACTTTTTTTTGCATCCATTATTATCCATAAGATTCTGTATAAGTATGGAACACTTTGTAAAACATCTTGAGAACATAATGGAAAAATCCCGCTGCCCTTCACGTTTTTTCTTTCAACATTTTACATAATCTGTGGACATTATTTGGCAGCGTTACATTCAGGTACGATTATTCCGTCCTTCGTCCCGTTTAAGGTGAAAAATCAGAGTTTTGCGTAATTACGTCCGGCAGAAGATCGCCTTCAGCTTAACTGGTTTGGGCGTAGAGGAGTGAGGGGGAGGAAACGCTTAAGAAGAAAGCAATATACAACCTTATTTATGCATCGTTTATCTGTCTTTTTATACATAATTGTGTGAAAAAATTTACTTATTATTATAGATTTCTCTTAACTTCCAGCACCTTTCCAGACCCCTTGCACAATTTTATTTCAGTTTCTCCTCTTAAAAGGCCCTCAAATGCTAATAATGCAGGGAAATTAAAAAAAAACAGAGTCGAATTGAGAACCTCCTTATTTTTGTAGCCAGTTAAAAATAACTCGGTAGGTGCTGATTTAAATAGTTTCATATTAACCAGATGACGATTTTTAGTAAGACGTTTGCTTTTGCGTTCTCCCTGTAGAAATAGAGTGAAAATTATCTGACTCAAGAGTCCTCTGGAATCCGAGCACGGGTTAAGAAACCCATTATCAAAAGACAAAGAAAGTTTATATCCATCTAGTAAAGTTTAGACGCTGTACAGAACTAAATACTAACACTGATTATAAACCAACCAAAACTACACGTAACTAAAGCCTCACATAGCATTCCGAACTGGATTATTCCACTTTGTTCACTTGAGTGATATCACCTGGGTAGATTTTTAGTGTCCTCATTTTACCTCGGAACCATTTTACCCAGGTGATATCACCTAGGTGAATTGAATCGCAAAAGGCAGTTGCCTTCGTTCATCTAGGAATTAATACACCCAGGTGAACAGATGCGACTTTTTTCATTGATCAAGTGGACTTATATCACCCGCATAAATTGTTCACTCAGGTGATTTCACCCAGTTGAACAAAGTGAAATAAACCGTCGAAACTACGAGTAATTATGTATTAATGGAGAGCCTGGCGGCATTTCGCAGAAGCTACCTATTATACATACCTATATACTACCTAACTACCTATGTCACTCTGTATTGGCTCATTGGTATTGATTTCTAACGCAGATAGAGACCGTTAGGTAAATTATATACGGTACGCGTGCAATACCCATTAATCGAATTAGCAGTCGAATTACCACGAAAACCAGATATAGCCGGTTCTAGTTTTCGAAATTAGTAGAACTACTCGTACATTCGTTTGGAATTTCTCGAACTGTGAACTTACCATGAGTTTATGTTAGGTGTGCTCGCTAGCGAGTACGTAAAAAAAATCTGTACAATCGGTGCTGTACAATCTGTCATACATTTAATATAATTTTTTACGTGCTCCCTAGCGAGGACACCTAACGTAAACGCATGGTGAACACACTGATTTCGTTGGTATCAAGTCCTCGTGCAAGTTGGTGTGTAGGTATTCTATCGATCATTTTGGTAAAAATAGACTTAAATAAAAGCTTGTAAAAAGGATTGAACTTACCACAACTTAATTATTATTGGCGTCTCACCAAAGTAATTCTACCAAAAAGGTGTCCTTTAATCCTCTTGGATCTTAATAAAGCGAAATTCTAGGAATTACACCAGTAGTTTACTATGTCACAAAAGATAATTTTTTTTTTTAATGCGAATAACAATTTCAGTGAGTCTAGATTATTTACATTTTAACTCCATGACAGGATAATTATGTTTTATTCGAGAAAAATCTACTATCGAGATTCGAGATCGATGCAAAAGATCGTACATCCCTAGTAATCACCACTAAACACATTTCCACTAGAAGCAGAGGTATGTTAATTATCTTCAAAATGCAGGCGCGTGCAGGTACAAATTTCGACTAAAGCCTAAACCGTATCCGCGTAATGATCTAATTTGTTATTCATGTCTATGTACACACGATGGCACATCAAGTGTTACAGGTTTCCTGCAAAAGTAGCACTTATTGCTGAAGGAATAGAGGCGGTATCAACATAATCTGATGTGCTTTGTGTCTGGATATGTTACGTTTGGTATTCGATAGAAAGCTTTTATTTAAGCTTCGGTTATTTTAAATTAACATTGTTGTACGTTTTGAAATGAAAAACTTTCTAATGTGATTTCAGGTATGTAATTGAAAAATCTTGGTTCGCCTGAAAGTATATTATGGTCTTTTGTAGTTGAACTCTAAAGTAGACGTCGATCACTTAATTTAATATAACTAGTTACAAAAATCTTACCGTAGATTTCAGAAAAAAAAAGAAACAAGAAATCTTGAATTGAATCCTGATTACTTTTAAAAATTGAAATGACGAGGAAAATCCTAAGTAATCTTCCTGAAAACACAGGAAAACGCCACGATTTTATTGATAACAAATATCATTTCTAAAAGAAATTTTCCCTGTGAAGTTAATGTATAGAAAATCTTATAAAAATAATCCAGCCTCCAATATCCCGTATCAATCATTGTTCAATTGCTCTTAGCTCAGCATAATCTGGGCCGGTGACGCAAACATATCGCGTCACTTACAAGGGTTCCGTTTTAGCCACCCGCGGCTGGTCACCCTCCCCAGTTTTTCTAATTTATTCAGTAATCAATTTACGAACATTTCGCGTGTTTTGCATTATAATGTTATTAACTTGAATGGGTATTTTCATATTTTGTTGACTTATTTTATAGTTATGGCACCCCATGCTTTTATTGTTTACTTTTGTGTCCGAAAATGTTCAGGAAAATTAGCTGAAAACTCTCAAGTTTTTTGGTAAATTTGTAAAAAAATTGCTAATTACTTATTAGACATTTTCATATCACAACTTAATTACACACTTTTTACGATAAAAACTCTTTATAATAAGTATGTAAATATGGGATGGACTACTGACTAAGTCATCAATGATTCCACTTCATAATATTTTATCATCAATCACTAATTACTTAATACACGACACATACATTACCCATACTTATAAAACATACAGCACAATTATTGATTTTTTTATTGTTTTTATGTTCTAATAATAGTTTTAATAGTTTTATGTACCCAAAATATTGTAAAGTTATCTCCTGGCCTCCACGAGACAGGCTTGCCTAGTGTGGAGTCCAAGGTTAATATGAAAAATGTAATTGTTTTTCTTGCAATAAACGATTTTTTTTAAATTATTATAGCTTTTGATACATAAACAAACATACACAAATTAATATCTGCCTTATATTTAACTTCATCATCAACAGCCCTTTACAGTCCACTGCTGGACTATGAGCCTCCTCCACTATATTTATATTTAACTTACTGGAATTAATTGTATATGATGTCAATAATATCCCCATTTCTCGCTAAGCAACCTTCATCACGTCAACTTACATATTCAAGGAGGATTTTCCCAGAACCGAACGTTTTCCACGTCTTCCAGCCAAAGTGCCTTTGTCTCAAGTTTGTATCTGATTACTTTACCTGTCTGTTATACACGTGTCCATTGGCTCTCTAATAAATCAACCGTAACCGTCACAAGTTTCCCCATAACTATAACTTGACTAAGGAATCTAGTTTATGACTGCATCAATTATGCCCAAGCATATCCTAATTACTGTAATGGTATTAGCTTGAAACGGAGGAGGGTCAAGGGGGGTGGCGTTCACGTGGTTTGAAATACTGATGTGTGCTGTGTACATAACTGCGTTTTGACTATATCTAGTATCTGGAACGAGCAGTTGTCCCTCTCTGGCACTATTGTCACAGTTCGTGCGAAGTGGAGACAGCAAATGTTTATCCGCCGTTCGGTCAGTGAAAATGCGGTTACGGCAAATTAGTGTGCGTTCGTATTCAGAGCATTATGTTAGGCACTGGGTGATCCACAGGTTAATTATGCACGCATCACATTGTCATGATGATCTATTACGTCGATATCTAGGGATATACGGGACTTGTGGCGATGACAAAGAGCTGTCAAGGAATCTTCAAACCCTAATTATTAACGTGCTGACTGCTGATTCCTCGTGTAGTTTTGGTATCATAAATAACTTGATAAATATGGACGAAGGCATATCGAGCTGACACTGTCACTAACATTTTAAGTTTTGTAATTGGTGCTACTTTCCAATAAAAATGTATGGTGTAATATGCTAACGATTGGTTAACAGATATAGTGGATATCCTACCATAAACAAAAGCTCGTTTGATTATATCTTTTTGATGGCTTTGTTGACGACCAGCCACACACGTCTTCCTTGTAATTAGCGATAGTGAATGAATTTTTAACTACCAATAATTATTTAAGTACTCATTGGTACTCATAACGACACCTCATTTCATGATTGGTTATGGCCTGTGACATTGTTTGTACCAAGTATCAACTATGTGGGTAGTCGATATCCAGCGACTATTGAAAAATCATGCATAGAATAAAGAAAATCGTAGAAAATAACTAATATATTATGTTCATTATAAGCAAGTGAATTGCTTACTTGTCTTAAGATTGGCTCATATTACACCGTTTAGTTTGTAGTGAAGCTTACACAATATTACAATTTAATAAAAAATGAGATTTGAGTTAATAAATAAACTTAAAATTCGTAAAATTATTTATTTAGTACTTAAGTTTAATACATATTTTCACGACCGAGTGGAAAAGGGTAGATCCCTTTTCTCTGGGCCATTTTCCAGTTTAGTTTTAAAGACATATCCTTCACATAACCTCGCTTTTTCTCCCTAGTTATTGTAACATCGTATTATGTGTCGTCGTTGTAATTAAGCAAAGAAGGCGTCGGAAGACTGAGGGTGCGCCGTGAATGTTCACGGATCTCATTTCCATGCAAATGAGAAGACGTTATACGTCGGATGTCGGTAGGCGCCCCCGTAGAAGCGCATCTACCGAGAAAGGATTTGTCTGAAATAGGCCGCGTAGCACTTGCTCGATTAGTAATATATTATGCTAATGTCCCGTACGTTTTCACGCTATTCAGATTTGTTACGGATCCGTTGGGGGCTAAATTTGGCAGGTATTTCAATCTGCAGATGCAACAAATACTTGTCCTTTGTAATCTCGATACTAATCTGCATTACGCGACCAATCTTTTTCTCACCTTTCTAAGACACGTTCATATCAGTATTTTTTTATTCCGAACTAGAAGAATTATCTGATTCTGACTTCCGTTTTCTTTTCCGACGCGCGTTTTCAATGTCGTCGACTAATTTCAATATGCCTATTTTTAACTTCCTCTTTTCCTTTGTAGTAAAACCAGCAATATCCGGAAGGATACTCTTGAAAAACTGTAAATCTTGACTATCGTTGCCCGTATCTTTGTCCTCACGTTTTCTCTTCTTGAATTTCTTATACTTTTTTTGGTCAACTGTTTGATCATCATCGGAGTAGGAGTTGGTTTCGTTATTTTCGTCGTTGTTTTCTGTTGGATCTGATTTTATTTTGACTGCCGGCCATATTATGTCAGGCTCAGTCACACTTTCTTGTTCATCGTCTATGTTGTCACAATTTTCAAACACATTCTCGGGGATGTCACTAGTATTCCGTTTGAATCTAAATGGAACAAATAAGTACTCTTTATAATAACTGAAATATTTTACATTTCAAATTACTTTGCCACATTCATAACTTACCCTTTTGATTTGGTGAATGGCTCTAAAAATTGTAGTGAGTCGTACAGATAATATTTTTTGGAAAATAATGCACCTTTCTTTTTTTCTTCGATATATTTTTTCTTGAATCTGTTATATGATGATCTTATGCCTTTCCACTTGCTCTTAAGTTCTTCAACTGTAACAAAAAATTTTAGTAACAAATGTACCTAAATAAATAAATAGATAAGTAAGTGTAATTTTACAAGCTTTTAAAAAAATATATAATAGGATTTGAAAACAGTTTACTTAAAGACTAGCTTTTCCTAATAAACTATTGGATATTATGTTTTTTCATATGATTGAAATACCACTGAATTATGTGAACATCTAAAACCAACGCATGTCAAGTCACAAGCCACAGCAGGACCTTTATTAAAGTCTCGTATTAATGTGACATAAAAACGAAAGATTCTTTAACTTACGACTGCAATCCAGTTCCATTTCGTTTTTGACAGTTTCAACAACCTTTTCCCAAGCCTTGTCGGCTGTCCATCGGCGATATGTCTCCATATTGTGGTCGTAGATGTCAGGGTATCGCTGGATTATCTTCACGAATTGGACCATCTGCGTCTGCTCATCTATGCCACTCGCTGACGCAGCCATCTGGGGAGTAATACAGGGCATTACAGGGTCAAGGGTCGATTAAGTTTAAATAAATCTAAGTATGGCAATAGTGGCCTAAAGAACAATATTGACGCTCATCAAGTTATAATAATAAATTTAAAATCTTTCCTATGAGTCATTTATTCCATAAACATACCACCCTTGGATGAAATACCCTTGGACATTTTTATACTGCGTCATCTCCGTCCCAAATTAGGCAACGCTTGTATTTATTGAAACGCCAATAAATACTTTGGTTGTAAAAACAAAACATAATATTTACTCATTTTGCGGGAATCGAACCCGCAAGCCTGCGAACCACTAGGTCAAACGGTCGTCACGTCAATGTGGAACTTGTGAGCATACGGCCAAATATTCGCGACGTAGTTTCTAAAGTACGCGGGGGTACGAATCGGAAAATTCCTACGTCACGCGGACAGATGTGCGTTACTTTGAAATTTTCCGTGGAGTATTTTAACAAGACCTACGTAACTATTAGAGTAGGCGCTCACCGTTGATTTTTAGTTGGCCGATAGTTGTGCCCGATTTTAATTTGTATGAAGAATCAGCCAAATCGAATCGGCGTAGTGTGCGCACTCCCATACATGCCCATACTGATCAACTGCCTGACTAAACTATCCGCCGACGAAAAATCAACGGTGTGCGCCTACTCTTAAGCCTTAGTTACACTAGAGGACAAATCCTTCGACCTCAATCTGAGCAACGCTGAATCTACGAGTAAGGTGACTTTCAAGGAGGCCAATGTTCAGCAGTGGACGTCCTGTGGCTAAGGTTGAACTTCCCTATCTTCGTAAAGCTCCGTATACATTGTAAATATTTGTTGACCCATATTTTCGCTCGCCGAATAGCAAATCTTCAACATGACGTGATCAACTTCGCAACACAAACTGTTGACTACAACATGTTGACAGCAACATGTTTATTGAACACGTAGCTCAATTATGCCGCGCAACATTTTGTGTCGCAGATAGGGTTGCCAGGCGTCCGGCTTTAGCCGGACATGTTTGGCTTTTTAGGGACTTGTCTTGTCCGGCCAAATATTGCGTTGTCCGGCCTGTCCGGCTTTTTATTTGGTTACCGCGCTAGGCGAAAGCCGAGCCACAGAATCATATGCGCACGCATCAGGATGTTGGTTAACAACCGATGATGATAGTACTCACTCATGAGCTGACACTAATTGCCCCAAGTCACATGTCCGGCTTTTAGGGTAAAATGTCCGGCCAAATGAAGCACAAAGTCCGGCTTTTGTGATTTTGGACCTGGCAACCCTAGTCGCAGAGCGAACGCACAACATGCAAGATACGACTCTCAGGCTCTCAGATCAGACAATGAACATTAAGATGAATTTGTGTATCCAAGGGTTGTGCTTCAGCGCAGCACTGCAAAGGGGTTGTTTATAAATACACACACCACAACATTTAAATAACTAAACAAATAAATTATTTAATTACAACTTACTTGGGTTAAGAACTTTTGACGTGTATTTTCGCGCCAAGCAGCAAAGCAACCTTCCACAGTCCACAAAGCAACGTGACTACTGAGTGTGGCGCGAGGCGCGCGCCACATGCGAGGGAGCGAGACGCACGATGCGGCGTGCGTCTTGCGCGCCACAGCCCACAGCGACGTTGCCAGCCCGCCTCTGTTTGTAACCTCACAAGGACACGAGTTACGACGTGACCTTTGTGACGTTTACGTCAAGGCTCAAAGTTGAATTACGCGTGCTGGTCACTTTTGGCGGGAAAAATTTTGGTAATCGTCTAATTAAAAACAATAGCTACAAAACTAATGATAAATGCCTGCATGGATTTTTGTAACTCCGTACATTTCTGCCTTTGAATATAGGTAGACTATACTAAAACTAGATTTTCTTTCTTTCAGGTTCCAGTGGTTTCCAAGATGATGGTAATATTCTCGCCGAATTATGTAAGTAAATTATAATCTTATTGTTTGTTCACAGTCAGATACCAAAGTTGCTCAAAACTGATTTGACTTATGTTAGTTCCTTCTGTGTTCAGTTGAAGCTAAAACGGTTCTTGTTTGTTCAATAAGATCTCTTGATTGAAACTACCTAGAAATCCCAAAATCTACAGCTATTATTTATTTCCATGAACTGCTATTAGCTATTTACAGCTTGAAATTGGAAGTGTATTATCTACAGACTCTTTATTATGATTTTATATGACATAGATAATAAACAAAATAATTTACTTTGGCTTCTTAAAGTCATGTAAAAATTAATGCAAATGATTTGCCACTTCCCCTTTACATGTGGAACTGATCTGTTTAAATTAATAAAGTACTACTTACCCACTATTAAATTAATTACGATAAGTTTGAAAAAGAACTAATTTTTGCTACTTAATCGTAATTTTATTGTGATAGCAAAAGTTCCATTAAAGAGATGACGGCTAAGAGTAGTGTTGAGGTAGTAGGAGTTTGGACTTTATGTCGTGAAGTTTAAGGGTGGTGGTGTAATGTGGCGGCATTTAGACATCTGCGACATCTGCCGGGCTAGCACGTGGCCCGAACACCTTTCGTCTACACGCGGGCTGCCCACCTTTTTTACCAATAAACCTATTTATACACTGACACCGTTCTATATTTAAAATTGTTTTTATTGCCGGTCTCGCAGACTGTGGAACACGGCAGAGGCAAAGGTTGTGTGTACTAGCAGTTTTCTCTTAGAATCTAGATAATAATGCAAAGTAGTACATATTATTTTAATTACTACTTATGTATGTTAGGAATCCTAAAATAGGCAGGTGACGTAACAACTTTCCTGGTCTTGGGGATGTCTAAGAACGGAGTGATCCTTTGAACTTCTAACGAAAATTCCTAAAGAACCCACTTGCAGCAGTTTACAATAATAAAATGACTACTACTTTTTTATCCACAACGAGGAAGCTCTTGGCCTGTATCTCACCTGATGATAAGTGATGATCAGGTCGAAGGTGGAAGCGAGCTTCACCCGATATCCTCAACCACGGAGGAACTAGCTATCTTACCTCTAACTGCCGGAACACAACAATGCTGTTAACATTCAGACTTAAGAAAGATGGTGGTAGCTAGCCAGGCGGACTTAGAATAAGCCCTACCACCAACCAAAACGAACAGAAAAATCTGCTACCACTGGAAATCGAACCCGGGACCTCTGCGTCTGAAGCAGGTGGTCTTATCACCAGACCACAGAGGCGGTTAAAACTAATGAACGTACCTACCTATTGAACGATAACATCATTGACAAATACTTGAGAGTGAACAGAAACATGACTCATTATAAAAGATACAGAAAATAACTAGGTCACTGAAACTAGGCTATGTGTCCGTGACATTTCTAAAGGGAAGATCTCGGAAGATCTAGTATGTCAACTGACCATTCACTTCAAAAATTAAGCTGAGGCATACCAAGATTTACCAAAAACACCGCGATGATTAATCCTTTTTCGCAAAAAAGGATGCTGACATAGTTACTCTCAATGACAATGTATGTAATTAAATTAAAAGATAATATTTAGTTCTTATGTAAATATTTTAGTTCATTAATAATCATCTTTCTTATCAGGTATTCATTCGATCTCCACTACAGGAACAGGACCACCGACTCTCTGATGATAAAGGATGTGGCCTACACTCCCCATGCTGGCCAAACGTTTAAAAAAAAGCTTAAGTACAGACGTTTAAGTTTAGTTGCTTTCATTTTATTTCTTATCTTAGTTTTTAATAACGAAAGATTTATAAGCAGTGACATCACAATCCGATCTATTGAAAAAATCGTTCTGACAAATTATCTCGAAACGTATTCAGCCTTACTTATAAACGTTTATTAAAATTAAGACACAGTTTAACGGTCTATTAAATAATATCTTAACTTAAAAACGATAATTAGTGTTAACCAACGTCTTAGTGACTGCTTAAATAACTGTCAAGTTAAACAGCGTCGGACCCTTGTTTAAAGCCCTAATTACCAAAATGGCGGATCAAAAAGTTAACAGCTGATGCGTGACGTGCCATGCAACGCGCTGTGTTGCTGCGCTGCGCGAAGATACACACAAAAAATAGCATGAAACACATGGCAAAGGTTGGCGCAAACATAATACAAAGTGAAAACAATAGATAGACATTACAACGGTTGGTGTTTCTTAATACCTACACAGTTAAAATAATTCAATGGACTAATAATACACAACATGTTACGTCGGCGAAACCCGAAACACTAAAAAGACTTGAGTTAAACATTCCGACAATAAAATCCTAAAGGCTTCCTAAGGGTGCATGTGCGTGAGAAACTAAAATTACCATGCCTTAAAATTGCGCTAAAAACTAACAAAGCATTTACATCTTAAGTTTGTACAAGAAGTATTACAATTATCTAGTGTATAGTATTATAATTGGTACATAATTTTAATATGGCGTATGTGGGACATAGTCGCTACAGTACTTTTGTTTGTTGTTGTAGACTTGACAGTTGACTGACAGACAGCGTTTCATTTGACATAACTTTGACGTTTATTATTCTTAATTTTAGCATTGGCTTTCGGCATTTTGGCATTAGAACTGGTCTGAAGTTCGGTTCAGGTGGATTTAAAAAAGAAAAACTCTAATTAACAGTTGATTAGTTAAGTGACGCTTAAGCAGTGTTTATAAGTGAGAAATATTTAATTACTGATTAAGAAGTTAACGAGTCATTAGTTAATTAGTTGCTTAGACGTTGATTAGTTGATTTTTATAAGTAAGGCTGATTATGTTTAAATCAATTGATTGATTGAAGTTAACATGCCTATTATGAGCTTTGATTTTTTGTGTGCAATTTATTCAAATGGCATCAAAAAACTAAAAACTTACTAACCTTGAGCACTGTGTCAATGTGACTATTCATTTAAATACAACTGCACAAATAGAAGATAATGGCAATAATAAATTATTTTTAACGATCACCGCGGTATGTTCCCATTCATACAAGTTAGTGCCCGACACCGCTACTTGCGAAAGTTCGTATAGTTTCATAGCATCTCAAGTTGGACACTAGGTTTATCCTATTTTATTTATTTTCTCTTCTATTCTTGGTACAGATGGAACACAAACCTATTCTTCTTTAGTGTCTCCCCCTTTCATCTCACTCACCTCATCGGTCCCTGAAGAAATAAGTACTAGGTTGTTGGATGATCCTATACAAGTGAAGAATAAGTCGTTTTTCTGTTTACGTGCAATTGTATTTTTTCAGGTACATTATTATAGTACCTTGCTTTGACTTTCAGTATAGAGGTGCAATTTTTGATCTAGTCATTCGTTCATTTGGCAGTTGGGTCGTCCAACGATTTCTGATGCGCGGTCTTCACTTAAAAAGCTCCTTCCAATCGGCAGTATATCCTTTAATTAAAATTTTTAACTATCTAAGATGGAAATTAAGTAATAAATAATGTTATTATGACCTGCAATCATAAACGACAATGGAAACAGTGTAAACGCATGTGGCACAGACAGGCGTGTGCGCACCGCCTCGCATTAGCGATTCGTCGGCAGGTGATTACGAGACAGGTGGCCAAAACAAAATTATAACGATAACTGCAGCTATGCACACCGCGTCGGTTTTGTTTTATTCTTTATTCAAAACATCGTAACGCTTAGAAAATTATAATCGAATCGAATGTAACGCTTTTTTCTTTATAATGATCCAACTTTTTAATGGCTGTGTTTTATTATAACTAGCCAGAGTTAAAGGTTACACCGCGCTCTAATTTTACGAAAGAATTTATTGTTGTCAATTTAATGTTTAGATGAACTAAATTAGTCATGTTTATTTTCAGAATGCTAACGTGATTTTGAATAAATCAGATTTCGATACAAACATAAATTGCACAATTGAGGCTTTTAAATAAATCAAATAAATTCAGTTTATGCTAATGGCATAAAATCACATCGACATTTTAATAGCTTGTAATCGTATCAAAAATCAATAAAACATGAATGGGAAGTGATTTAAAAGGCATTAAGAGTTCCGCAAGGTCAACGACGCATCAAAATCGTCTGGTTTCGGTCAATTGACGGACAATAGCTGTCAAATAATCAGATTAAACGTCATATTTTGACACGTTACAAACGGTAGGTGACGCCATGATTGTTCAAAGACGTCGTGCTCTATTTTATGTCTGAAAACCGAGTTAGCATTTATGCTACAAAATTCTATTTTTTAACATAATCAATTAAGTTCAAGAACCAGTAACGTCAAAGATTCCCTTTGCAAATATTGAAACTTCCATAGGTTGAAACGATGACTAAATCTATGTGTGCCGTTGTGTGACTCAAATCTTTATTCAAAAGATAATTTTATTAAAAAATTTGAATATTAAGGTAGCAAGTAGCAACAAGCGTCAATTTGATTGCACGTCAGTAAAATTAGGAATGAGCGTCGAAAATAATGCAGACATATGTTCAACACCTTTCATAAGCCGGTCGGACGAAGGACATCCGCTTTTTGGTTCAAAAAAGGCCTACTGCATTGTGAAAAAAGGTTTTAAGGGGTTCCG